TACAGGCGCGACACTGAGGGTTGCGATCCATTGCCGGTCACGAAAAAAAAAAAAAAGGAAAAAAAAAAAAAAAGAAGAAGAAGTAGTTTGCTTGTTAATGGTTTGTTCATTCCAGACTTTGTACCTTTGCATACACATGACTTCTAGTTTAGTTCTCGCCCTCACTTCCTTCAAAGCCTAATTCAGATCTTTTGTAATGTAAAGTATTCCTTAGTTGACCTTAACCTGGTTATTTATTTATGTTCTCATCACCCAGTAAGTACTTAACATACTCATACTAGTCAGCACTCATATTCAGTTGAGTTTCTAGATTATTGAAAGATATCTAAACCCTGGAAGTTAGCTGGGCTCAGTGCACTAAAACTCTAGTACAATATAATAAGTTAGACTGAACCTTGAAAATTGTTAACAGTAGTAATTGATCTTAATGTTTTTATTTGTAAATATATTGCTGCTAAAAAATTATCTCAAATTATCAGGAAGATTGTAGAGTCTACAGAGACAGCAAGTGTTAGAGGGGTTTTCTTTCCATCTGATGATTTAAAACATCAAATAGATTTTAAAAAAGCAAAAACAGTTTTTAGTATCCCCAATTTTTATTCCCTAATAAAAACACCTCTCTTAAGTCTTAGGCTCATTTTCTTCTATGTGATATTATCTGTTGACTTTCTACTATAAAAGATGAAAATTAGCCCTCTCTATTCCCCTTATTTCACATGCATAGACACACTCCCTTTTCCTTCCTCTAAAAACACAATAAAAGTTTATCTTTTTCCTCACATGAAGTTCAATACTGGGTTTTGTGGCAATGTGATTATTCAGTAATGGGACACTGGTTCTCAAAGTGTGGTTCAGGGACCCCAGAGAGGTTCCGAGGATTCTTTCTGGGGGTCCATGAGATCTAAAATATTTTTGTTACAGTAATAAGATGTTATTTTTGTTTTTCACCCTCAGTTTTTGATAAGAATGCAGTACTTTTCCAGTAGCTGTGTGACGTGATGATGTCATCACACTAATAGCTAATGAAATAGGTTCTTGTGTTTTCTAGAATTTTCTTTCTTTTTTTTTTTTTTAATATGACTGGTAAGGGGATCTTAACCCTTGACTTGGTGTCAGCACCACGCTCACCCAATGAGCTAACCGGCCATCCCTATATAGGATCCGAACCCATGGCCTTGGTGTTATCAGCACCGCACTCTCCCAAGTGAGCCACAGGCGGCCCTTAGAATTTTCTAAGGTAAGAATACCTCAATAGGGGCTGGCCCGGTGGTGCACTGCTACAGTGTGCCGCTTGGGAGTGCGGCGGCGCTCCCGCCGAGGGTTCGGATCCCACATACAGACCGGTTCCCGCTCACTCGCTGAGCGAGGTGAGGGCGCAACACCGAGGGTTGCGATCCCGTTGCCGGTCCCGGTCCGGGCGCGACACTGAGGGTTGCGATCCATTGCTGGACACGAAAAAAGACAAAAATGAGGAAAAAAAAAAAAAAGAGTACCTCAATAGATTGAATGCAGAAGTAGATATGAAAATTCACCTGTGTCCTATTAAGCCAGATATCAAAGAGCTTTACAAAAATGTAAACTAATGCCACTCACTAAATCTTTTGTCGTAGGGGCCAGCCCATGGCTCACTTGGGAGAGTGTGGTGCTGACAACACCAAGTCAAGGGTTAAGATTCCCTTACCGGTCATCTTTTAAAAAAATTAAAATAAAATAAATAAATCTTTTGTCTTGGAAAAGTTATTTTTTGTTAAAAATGGTTATATATGTTAATATATATTGGGTTTATTGGCTTTTTTTTTCCAGGATACACTGAACAAATGTTCGAAACTGGTTTAGTTTAGTTAGAAATATTCTACCATGTTTTAAAATATAATTTATTAGAGATTACTTAGTATCAGTCCTTAAAATTTATAATGTTTTGATTTATTTTGAGATTGAAAAGAACTGTTTTTCTTAATACCTTTCATTTGGTATTCTGTGAGTTAGGAAGTATCTGGTATTTAGTATTAGAATATTAAAGCCTTCGTTAGCTTCCATCCAGCTTAACAGAATTTCGATCTCCCCGTATTCTCAGGAGGAAACTTGTATCAAGAGTTTCATCAGCATTTCATTTCAACAGATATTTATCAAGATTTGCGTTTATGAGAGACGGAAAGAAGATGGGTGTTATGAGAAATGCAAAGAAGCCTAATTGACTTGGCCTTAATAGAGATTTATCTCAATGTCTTGTTCTTTCAACATCTACTCCTATACAGTGAGAACTAACCTTCGGGTTGATGATTCTTAGTCACTACAAAATTCTCAGGAATCAAAAACAAACATTTTGCATACTAGATGTAATTAAGATAAGATGCTAGGATACCTCAGAAGTATAACAATTAACTACATGGAGCAGAGTTTTCAAATCAGTACAAAGAGAAACAAACTTTATTTAACTAACAATTTTATATAGCACTTTAGAGTTTATGAAGTGATTTAGCGTGTTTTATTTCATTTCATCCTAATGATATCCATAGGGAGTTAGATACTATCCACATTTTACAGATGTGTGACTCAGGCTTTCATATGGTAGCTGACTCGTACAAGAATGCATGTAGGTTGGACTCAAATTTAGGTGTTCTGACTTCTCATCCTGTGCTTTAATTGTTTAAAAACACCATATTCCTTAAAGTTCAAAGTAGTTGACATTCTACTACACATGTTAAGATATTTTGGAGGGTATGACAGTATCAAGTGTAAAGGCCTTGGCTATCATAAACTCTTTGTAGTTAACCCAAATCACTAGGAGAAATAAATAAAAATTCTCATTCTGGTAATAGATCATACAAACTTTGAGAGAGGTTAGACTCAAGTTTGAACATACATTTTTGGCTAAAAGGGAATTTTTCTTGTTTGAAACTACTAAAAACCTTCAAATATGCTGTTTTACTGATGTTCAGGGCTATAGTCTCTGACTGTAATAGTGGGGATACATACATTCAAGTTTGAACATACATTTTTGGCTAAAAGGGAATTTTTCTTGTTTGAAACTACTAAAAACCTTCATATATGCTGTTTTACTGATGTTCAGGGCTATAGTCTCTGACTGTAATAGTGGGGATACATACAGAACATCAACAAACACGTAAAGTAAATGATACTTTGCCTACACATAATATTAATTTCTTAATGAGCTATTGCAGGAGTTATATGGTATGAAAGATTCACCTGCAAATACTGATTCAAAGCTTCAGACAGCAAACTGGGGAACAGTACTAGCATGGAGAACTTTCAGCTATCAGTTATAAGTCTAAGTTGTTTATTATTAATTTGTTTAATTATTATTGATTTATTATTATTATTATTCTTTCCCTCTCTCCCCATAGGTTTGTAAAAGAATGGACTTGGTCTGCCAGAGAATGTTGAATCAGGGATTTCTGAAAGTGGAGAGGTACCATAATTTATGTCAGAAGCAAGTTAAAGCACAACTCCCAAGGTATTAGTTATGGCTAGCAATGGCAATAATTTACAGTTTTTATTTGTTTGTTGATTTTTTTTTTTTTGTCTCAGGGCTTACATGTTAAATTGTTCCCAAGTTTTTATAGCAAAGGGCACACAGATCACAATAAGTGACTTCTTTTCAACATTTTACTGGAGGTGCTAGCTTGGGCAGTTAGGCAAAAAAATGAAATGAAAGGTATCCACATGGGAAAGGAAGAAGTAAAACTCTCTCTGTTCGCAGATGAGGTGATCTTGTGTGTAAGGAATACACCAATTAATTATTAGAGCCAATAAATGAGTTCAGCGAGGATATAGGATATAAGATTGATACACAGAATTCAGTTGCATTTCTGTACACTAGCAATGAACAATCTGAAAGTGAAATTAAAAAGACATCCATTTACAATAGCATCAAAAAGAATAAAATACCTAGTAATTGTATTAGTCTGTTTTTGTTGCTTATAACAAAATTCATGGAACTGGCTGATTTATAAAGAAAAAATCGATTGCTTACAGTTTCTGAGGTTGGGAAGTCCAAAGTCCATCTGGTGGTGGCAACAGTGACTCAGGGGTCTCACATTGCAAGGTGGTGGAAGCAGAGAGAGTGAGAGACAGACAAACTTGCTTTTTTTAAAGCCCTCAGAACCACACCCCTAAACACCCATTTTTAATCCATTCACTACTATATGGTCCTAAAATCCAATCACCTCTTTAAGGCTCCACCCTTCAGTTACCAGAATAGGATTTCCCACCCTCTTAACAGTCACAGTGGGGGATAAGTTTCTAATACATAAAACTTGGGGACACAATTTAAGCTTCACTGAGTTTTGGGGGGACATAATTCAATCCACTACAGTAATAAATACAACAAAAGAAGCATGAGACTTGTACACTGAAAACTACAAAACGTCATTGAAAGAAATGAAAGAAGACTTAAATAAATGGAAAGACATTCATGAATTGGAAGAATTCCTTTTGTAAGATGGTAATACTCCCCAAACTGATCTACAGATTCAGTGCAATCCCTATCAAAATCCAAGCTGTCATTTTTGCAGAACGTGACAAACCAATCCTAAAACTCCTAAGGATGGGCCGAACCTGTGGCTCACTCGGGAGAGTGCAGCGCTGGGAGCGCAGCAGCACTGGGGCACCAAGGCCACAGGTTCAGATCCTATGTAGGAATGGCCGGTGCGCTCACTGGCTGAGCATGGTGTGGGCACCACCAAGCCAAGGGTTATGATCCCCTTACCGGTCACCTAAAAAAAATAATAAAATAAATAAATAAAAATAAAAAAATAAAATTCCTAAGGATAACACCAGTGTCAAGGGTTTGGATCCCTGTCCCGGTCCACCATCCAAATAAATAAATACATAAAATTCCTATGGAATACAAGAGACTTAGAATAATCAATCTTGAAAGAGAACTAGGTTGGAGGACTAACACTTCCCAATTTCAGAACTTGCTACAAAGCTACAGTAGTCAAAACAGTACAGCATAAGGATAGACATATAGATCAGTGAAATAGAATTGAAAGTCCAGAAAATAAACCCTTATATTTTTAGTCGATTGGTTTTTTTGGTTTTTGATTTGTTTGTTTTTTTTTTAAACAAGGATGCCAGGACAATTCAGTGGGGAAAGAATAGTGTTTTCAACAAGTGATGCTGGGACAACTGGGTTCCTACATGTAAAAGAATGAAGTTGGACCTTTTCCTCACATTGTAAACAAAAATTAACTAAAGAGAGATCATAGACTTAAGTGTAAATGTCAGCACTACAGTATAAAACCCTTAGAAAAAGAGAAAGGGAAGCAGGAGAGGGGGCCAAGGAAAGGTTGGTAGACCTTTACAAAGTTATAATTAGATAAGAATAAGTTCTGGTGCTCTAGGCTGACAGTAGTAAATAATATGATATTGTGTATCTCAAGATAGCCAGAAAGAAATGATGAATGTTGTAACCACAAAGAAATGATAAATGTTTAGGTGATAGATAATGCTAACTATTCTGATTAGATCATTATACAATATATGCATGCATTGAAGCAACAAACTCTACTTCATAAACATGTTCAATGAAAAAAATAAAAAACCCTTAGAAGAAAACATAGTAGTAAATCTTTATGAACTTGGCCAAATTAGGCAAGTTCTTTTTTTTTTTTTTTTTTTTTTTTTTTTTTTTTTTGGTTTTTTTTTTTTTTTTTTTTTTTTTTTTTTTTTTACATTTTGGGTTTTTTGGCAGCTGGCAGGTATGGCGATTCAAACCTGTGACCTTGGTGTTACAAGGCCACACTCTAACCAGCTGAGCTAACTGGCCAGCCCAAGGCAAGTTCTTAATAATGACACTAGAAGTACAAATGACAAAAAAAGAGGCAAATTGGACTTAATCAGAGTTTAAAGCTTTTGTGGAAAGGGACACCATAGAGAAAGTGAGAAGACAACCCACAGACTGAGAGAAAACATGTGCATATCATTCATCTGATAAGGGACTTGTTTCCAGATTATGTGAGGAACTCTTACAGCTCAATAATAAAAAGATAATACAACTTAAAAATAGACAAAACATTTGAATAGACATTTCTCCTTGATAAGGGACTTGTTTCCAGATTATGTGAGGAACTCTTACAACTCAATAATAAAAAGATAATACAACTTAAAAATAGACAAAACATTTGAATAGACATTTCTCCAAGGAAAATACGCTAATGGTCAGTAAGCACATTGAAAGATGCTCAGCATCATTAGTCATCAGGGAAATGCAAATCAAAACTACGACGAGATAATACTTTACATCTACTATGATGGCTAAAATAAAAAAAGACAAAAAATGTTGGAGAGAATGTGGGCAAATTGAAACCTTTATATGTTACTGGTGGGAATGTAAAATGGAACAGCCACTTTTTAGAATAAACAGTTTGGCTATTCTCAAAAAGTTAAAAATAGTTACCATATCACCTAGCAATTTCACTCTTATATACCTAAGAGAAATGAAAACATATGTCCACACATTAACTTGTACATGAATGTTCTTAGCATTATTTACAATAACCCAAAAATGGAAACAACACAGGTATTCTTCAGCTGATAAATAAACAAAGTGATGGTATATACATATAGTGGGATATTATTTGGCAATAAAAAGGTACATGCTACAGCATGAACAAACCCTGAGAACTATGCTAAGTGAAAGAAACCACACACAAAAAGCCACATACTGTATTTCGTTACCTAAAACTTTCAGAATAGGTGAATCCATAGAAACAGAGTAGACTAGTAGTTGCCAGGGCCTGGGAAAATGGGAGTGACTGATAATGGTTACGGGCTTTCTTTTTTTTGTCTTTTTCCGTGTCCGGCAACGGATCGCAACCCTCAGTGTTGCCCCCGTACCGGACCGGGGACCGGCAATGGGATCGCAACCCTCGGCGTTGCTCCCGCGCCTCGCTCAGCCATTGAGCGGGAACCGGTCTGTATGTGGGATCCGAACCCTCGGGCGGGAGCGCCGCCGCGCTTCCCAAGCGGCGCACTTATCCAGTGCGCCACCGGGCCGGTACGGGCTTTCTTTTTGTGGGATGAAAATGTTCTGAAATTAGATAGTGTAGTGGTTGTACAACTCTCTGAATATATTACTATACGCCACTAAATTGTACCCTTTAAAATAGCAAATTTTATTATGTGTGAATTATTTTTCAATAAAACTGCTAAAAAAAATTTAAAGAAGCTAAATTTTATGGGCAAAAACATAGTCTCTTGCCTGTATGTCCATGTGTGATTCTTTTGTTTGCCTAATTTCTCTGATTCTTTTTTTTTTTTTTTTTCCTTTTTGTCTTTTTTCGTGACCGGTAATGGGATCGCAACCCTCAGTGTCGCACCCGTACCGCGACCGGCAACGGGATCACAACCCTCGGTGGTGGGAGCACCGCTGCGCTCCCAAGCGCTACACTCTACTGAGTGCGCCACCGGGCCGGCCCTCTGATTCTAATAGCTATTAGGCTTGATATAGCCCCAAAACAAAATTTAAAAACACATTTTTTTTTTTAAATAAAGTTTTAAAAAAATATATTTTGTCAACAAGTATTAGTTCTTGGCAAGGATTTTTGGGCATGGTGATTCATTGATCATTATAGTTAAATTATGACCCAATTATAGATTTCTAAATGAACATGTTAAAGTTAGACTGTTTCGCTAAGTCATTTTGATTGCTTAACATTTTAGTCCACAGTACTGCTTTAATGGTTGCTTTTATTATTATCATCATTATTATTATAGGAGAGAGTCAGAAAGGAGAAACCATTCATTAGCTCGTCATGCAGACATCCTCGCTGCTGTTGAAACAAGGCTGTCTCTATTAAATATGACTTTCATGAAGTATGTGGATTCCAATCTCTGTTGCTTCATCCCAGGAAAGGTAAAATAGAATTCCTTGCCTAGAACAACTGGATTGCCATTAAATTTTAATTTATTATAAAGTTATAAAGTCATTTTTGAAATGTCAGAATTTTTCCTACTTTTTTCAATGAGTTTCTTTTATTGGGTTTAACTTCTGTACTATCAATATAAATACATACCATTTATGTGATCTTATGTTTAAAATTCTAGTTATGAAATATACAGTAGAAGCCCTAATATTCTTTGGAGAAGTTTGTTAAGAGTTCATATTCAAGAAAAAAAATTTTTTTAATATATTTTTAGAGACTGGTAAGGGGATCTTAACCCTTGACTTGGTGTTGTCAGCACCACACTCTCCCAAGTGAGCTAACCGGCCATCCCTGTATAGGGATCCGAACCCATGGCTTTGGTGTTAACAGCACCACACTCTCCCAAGTAAGCCACAGGCCAGCCCTTAAAACTTTAAAAAGAAACTGTAACTGATATTCTAAGAGAAATAAGAAAAGATAACATTCAAACAAACATATGCCATATAAAGAATATTCGGAAAATTTTAAATGCACTTGAAACTTTAAAATGTAGAAGAAAAAAATTTAATTAAGTAAAAGGAGTGGAACGGAAAGTTAAGGAAATCTTAGAACAAAAAGACAAAGATGGAAAATGAGGGGAAAATGAGAACATATGAGCTTCAGTATTATTTTATTTTTTTTTAAAGATGACCGGTAAGGGAATCTCAACTCTTGGCTTGGTGTTGTCAGCACCACGCTCTCCCAAGTGAGCTAACTGGCCATCCCTATATAAGATCCGAACCCGTGGCCTTGGTGTTATCAGCACCGCACTCTCCCGAGTGAGCCACGGGCCGGCCCTGAGCTTCAGTATTCTAATAGGGTATTTGTTTACTGAACAATACATCTAAAAAAGAGGTTGTCTCTTGCCCACAGTAGTCTAAAGGCTTAAATGATATTCATAGTATATAATTTATTATTGTACCAATTTAAACAAGTGTGAGGCAGTGAACTGTATGTGTTAGAAATGTGATAGTTGGGGCCAACCCCGTGGCACACTTCGGAGAGTGTGGCACTGGGAGAACAGCAATGCTCCCGCTGCGGGTTCGGATCCTATATAGGAATGGCCGGTGCGCTCACTGGCTGAGCGCGGTGC